GACGCTCTGTTTTTAAACACTAACTTAAAGCGCAAGAAACGTGATATGAGGTATGCATAGGTAGGTCTCTGACAATTCTTCGAACAAGTAAGTAAAACGTGTCCTTAGGCCTAGACAAGGACAGAAACATAGAAACACAGAACCAGAAGAGAGGATCCAGAAAGGGTGAGACTAAAGATGGAAACACTCATATTGTTGGTCTGATAAGGGCAAACTGAAAACATAAACTCCATACCCAGCAAGCAATCATAACCCTGCTCATGGGGCAGTTTCTGGCAGAGACAACCATCTCTGTTGCTGTTGCAGATGAGACAAGTCTCGGTCTTCGAAGGTCCGAGTTCTCTGTTAAAAAGTTGAACTTCTCAAACGAAGACCTGAGACTCAGTCGCTCGGGCATTTGAGTTTGGGAGATAAGTCCCGATAGTGCTCTCCATTTCTAAGCTAAACAGGCATGTGAATCTTAACAGAGACTTTCCTGCAGTTCTCCCCGATAACCCTCATCAAACTATCGGGAAAAGGCAGGTAGGGTTAAATGTTCAAGACTTTGCCATCTATGGACAGCATTACTGAATCCGTTTAGCGTGGGATTATTGTAAGCCAATAGAACAAACTGTCTCAGATTTGGAAATCTACAAGACGAAAAGAAAGAAGCACAAGAATCAGAATGTAATCGACTGTTCTCAGAGAATCAGGAAGAAAGGAGAATTCTGATTTGTTACCTTTCAGAAGCAAGAGCAAAAATGTTCATTCTTTAATGGAACATAGAAGAATTATTGCAACTCATCCTTAAGATAGTCTTCAAATATGCGGCGGCCTGTCCTTTGAATCGTCATCTGACCACGCATATTGGCAACTGTGGGGTTTCAAATTGTCTGCACATCAAACCAGACAGATCTATAGTGTCCAAGGAGACAGTTAACGACAGGACAGGCCAAGAGCCAGTGAGCCACGAGTGACTGACCATAGAGACACTCGAGATCAGGTCCATTATGTTCCACAGTAAATATCTTGTCAAGAATCCGAGGCCCAAACTTATCCCATTCTCCAGACGATGAGTCTCTCTTGTTGCACATCTCTCCAACGAAGACAAGAACCCCATATTACCCTAAACAGAGAAAAGATATACATGAAGGCAATCATATACTTCAGTAAGATACTTTCAAAGAATCAAACACAAGAACATCTGCAATCTGTCTAGGAAATTTGGGAAACATTTACTGATTCAGAAAGGTGGCTGAGCTTCAGTAAAGAACTAGCAATCCACATGATATGTAAAACTAACAATGCTTGATTTATGAAAGGGCACGATAAAGTTTTTATCGTCGTTCCATTCCATTTTACAGAAACATGAGCGCATAATAAATATAGTGACTCTGAAAGAATATCCTAACAAAGAACCAGAAAATGTGCAGAAAGCAATTCCAAGGACCACATATGACTACCGTGAGCAGAAGATCTTTCCATGCTTCAGGTAATAAATAAATTCACTAAAAAGGATCTGAACGACAAATTCAAAAACGAAGGTTCAGGCTCTTCAGACAAGAGGTTGCTTGATCAAAATCATCAAACTGAAACCAAACTTATCACAAAAAGTGTGTTCAGGGTTCCATACTCAATGGCCGAAACTAAAACCGATGGTTGGATGGGTTATTGCTTGAATTTTTTAGATAACTTTTTAACAGAGGTAGTTGAATATAAAAAAAAACATATTACACAAAATAATGTTCATCTACAACGAGTTGAAGGTGTAGAGATTATTGGTTTACTCGGGTTAATCATATAGAGTTGAAGATAGATCAACCTATTGGATTGAACAATCTGAAAGTCATGGTTAAGTTTAAGTTCAAGGGTATATGACAGCCAAAAGCCCTAACAGAGAGAAAAGGAGAGAATGAGAAAAAACCTTTTGACCGCTTTCAATCTATACCTTTGATAGATTACACAGTTCCACTGAAGGTGTCTGATGAGGACTCCGGGATAGGGTTTTATCAGTCAGGGCATTTGTGCTTGATTTTGTTATAGATACACTAACTTAAGTTTTTACCTTTCAAAACGTAAATGACGAAACAGTCTACATTCAGTATACCAAAATGTTTCCCTATGGGTTCTTTCAAAAAACAAAATAGGAAAAGAAATATATGTTTTTATCATGTATGCCTATCATGGATTTTGTCCAAGTATATTCTATGAAGATAAACCATCAACATCACAGTCCTAATTATCTATAGCAATTTTCGTCGATTTACAACTACATTTCCTCCATGAAAACCCTTAAGGACAGATATGATAAATCAAAATACAGGTCCAAGTTTCACAGTAGTAGTTGTGTAATACAAATTACTAAAACGCATGTGTTTTGTGAAATAATGAAGCATCTTTCTCATAACTTAGCATGAAAATCAATACCTAGCTTACAGTCATGGCTCCTTCAACTCCGTTCTTCCAATCGCAAAAAGTAGATGCCACATATGAGGAAACCTATAAAAAACAAAGGGTAGAAACACCATAAAACTAACGGTGCATACCGTGCATGCATGCATTACTTACCAGCAAATTCTACGTGTTCCATGCACGTGTGCATGTCAAATGTACGTACAAGATAAAGACAGCAATAATAATGATTAATCTCTTCGGCAATAAAGCCTATGTGATCAGTTTGAGGATACAAATCACACTAAACAAGAAGAAATCCAAGATACAACAATGATCATTGATCTTCAACCATAAATACAGAGTTGGATTTTCTCATCTCGTAAATGATTCCAGAGAAGTAGAGAACACCCAAATCAACATTACCTCCTGACAGAACAAATCCTAATGTTCTTGCAATCCTGCCAATAAGTGTTGCTCAATGCTGTTAAATCTTCTAGAAAACTGCTGCTAGAGGCCAAAGGCCCCACTGGGTTCCACAGAAAATTTCAGAATCTCAAAGCAGAGTCTCATCACTTCGATTATGCATGCCCAAGTCTTTCACAGGTATCACATCATCTACGAGATCTCTCACGACTGGCCTGGACATTTATGATGCATACATAGTAAATAGCCTGAAATTAATCCAATTGAGCAACGGCAACATGCTTAGTAAGAGCAAATTAATCATAGAGGGGTAAAAGACATGAGCTGAATATCAACTCTTCAACCATGGCGTTTATATAAACCATCTATTCACTGTAACAGTTGCCACCTCTCTGGCATGACATGAGAACTAACACTTTCATCTAACCCCAAACAACATTTGTAAAACCACCAGTTTCATCTTATCTTACTTGATACGATTCTAAGAAAAACCTGCTGTGTTACAAACCCTTTGCCTGCTTGCTCAGTATCAAGTGTCAAAACGGCATTGCAGGCAATTCCGCGTTTATATGCACCACTGTATACAAAGGAAAAACGGTTACGGCATCTGAAGGCATCAATGCGACCTTCACAAAGAAAGAAAGAACAACACAAAATGGAATCGAAAGAAAATGAAAAATCTGCTGTAGGATTACCATTTAATACTCTCGCAACTTCTGAAAGCACTTGCACTTAAAGAACAGGTTTCTTCCGGAGATAGAATCCAAAGATAAGGACACAAGCACAGGAATTCCGTGGTATATATTGTTTGATATGTTCATGGGCTTCCACTAAAGAGGATATATTTGCATTATTTGCTTCCATCTAAGCGCAACACTCAAAATAACTTTATTATCTCATAGCAAAAATGGAACCATACACAGAGCTAAAACATATCAATCTCATTCAAGTTAAAAAGCAGAGTATCTCCATTCTTGCTTATATAGCCACAAAATTTGTCACATCAATAAAAGTGACTTCCATAAGATTGCTATAGATTCATTGATTTCCGAACAACAAAACCACAACCTTACAGCATCAAATCTTACACCCATTATCTTCAACTCAGCATTATGTTTGCGCCATAGGTTACAAACTTCAACTAAGAACCCTAATAGCAAAATTCGCGAACTTTGAGTCGACAAAACTAAAAGAGAATCGTAAAATCGAAAAGTCTACAAATTGCATAAATTTAATAAAAGATTCATAAAATCAACGAATACCCGATTGCATTTGCAGGCGTATAAAATCAACTCACGAGGGCAGCATAAATTTAATAAAAGATTCATAAAATCAACGAATACCCGATTGCATTTGCAGGCGTATAAAATCAACTCACGAGGGCAGCATAAATTTAATAAAAGATTCATAAAATCAACGAATACCCGATTGCATTTGCAGGCGTATAAAATCAACTCACGAGGGCAATGTTACAGGGATGTTCCTATAACTCAACAATGAATTGGAAACTAAACACGAAAGAGGAAAAGTTACAGAATTTTCATTAACAAAAAAAAAAGTTACAGAATTTTAAAAATTAGGGCTTAGGGTTTGCCAGGGTTGGGAATTTCGGTTGGATGTTACTTGCATCTGAAACGTCATGCAGTCGACTGGTGAGAAAAAGACAGCAGGATGTTATCGTGTGCGATGGTAAAACTGTCCGTCGTTTCTCATATTCGAAAACGTCATGCAACTTCCACTTGTATAGACGAAACAACCAGGCTTGAAATATTAATGTAGGCGGCTTTCTGGATACGTTCTCGAGCGAAGAATACATGAACGATTTCCACCTGAGAAAAGAACTTCACGTCGTTTTTCTCCTCTCGGCTCACGTCATGCTGCAGATTTTTACGCCGTTTTTTTTCCCGTTATGGAAAACGTCGTGCAGTTTAGCTCACGTTCTCTGTTTTTTTTTTAATTTAAATAAAAAGAGCTATATTGGGCTTACAACTCATTTCACTTCATCTAAGCCCACAGTATCTCATCCAAAACATTTGATTTTTTTTTTTCAGTCTAAAACATTTGAATGCATTATATAGGGGTGTGAATTGGGCACGACGGTTCGGGTTCGAGCCGGACTTAGTTCAGATTTAGATTTTTTCGAGTCAGGTCGACCCTTCCATTTATTTTTTCGACTTATGATTGGTGGCTCGGAGTCCGACCCTATAAGGTTTCGGACGGTTTCGGGTCGGGTTTCAGATTTTTTATATTTAATAAAAAATAAATATTAATGTATAATAATAATAATAATAACAACAATAATGTTAACTTATTTAGCAATTTTTTAAAAAAATCAGCAATAGCAAATTTTCCACATCAATTACTATTAAAAACTTTCAAATCTAAAAAATAATCATATAAATTTTAAAATATATAAATTATATAATATTTTAAATATATATATAATATGAAAAAGATATTCGGTACAATAAAAAATATAGAAAAATATTGAGATAAAATCTAAAAATCAAAGTTAAACTTATAATATATATATATATATATATATATATATATAAATTAAACCAAAATTTGAACAAACAGTTCAATAATATATATATATATATATATAGAAAATAATATATAATTTTAATATATATATATATTAACCAAATTGCTTTGAATATAAATATATATATATATATAATATACAAATAAAAGTTTTTATATAATGTTATGTGAAATCATATTTTGAGTGAAAGATATGGGGTGAAAGTAGAAATCTAATAATATAATATTTTTTTCGAATTAAATAGGCGGATCGGACGGGTTTCGAATCGGACTCGATTCGGATCTGAATTTGTTCGGGTCGAACCGACCCATCCATTTATTTATCGTACCTATATTATTAGGTCCAAATCCTTAATTTTTCGGGTGGATTTTGAACCGGATTTCGGTTTTCAGGTTCTATTGACACCCCTAGCATTACATTGATTTTTTTTTTTAATCAAATATCAAATCTTTCAAATTTTATAGCTGAATATACTTTAAACAATTACCCACTTGGTTATTGTAAACCAAACGAAAAAAAATACAGGACACAAAGGAAGTTTTTTATCGACTATATATATAATACCAATTAAAAATGATAAAAAATATATTAATTTTTAAAAAGTAATCGGTTCAAATTTTAAAAATCAATAAATTCAAAATATATTTATATTTAAAATTTTAAAAATTATAAATTTTATATTAACTGAAATTAAAATATATTATGATATTAAGTAGTATTATAAATTATTTTTTTATTAAATTAGAATAGGTAAAAAGAAGATTTAAAAAAAATATTTATTTATAAGAAATAAAAGTTTAATCGGATTTTATGGATCATTATAAAACTAATTGAACATATTTAAAAATTAAAGTTTTTTAATGTTTTTTTAACGTAGCTTTTTTTATGTGGTCCGTCTATTTTATTATATGAAACAGTTGAAGAAATTTTTTCTATATTGATAATAATTGTAGTATTATCTTATCATATTCACATCATTTTCGTGGCCTAATTCACGAGGTCCATAACTCTCCCACCATCATTAGCTTCTATCTTTATAAAAAAAAAAAAGTATACATTTTTTTCCAAAATTATTCTAGCTATTTCAAGATTCACTTCACTGAAAAAAAAATGGATTAAATATGCCTTAAGAAATATCATTAATATATGTTTCCCAAGTTATTTTTTTATATATGGATTCAATACAATATGATGTAGACGATATTCCATTCCAAATTTGCATTGTGAGGCGACAGCGTTTGATGATTCATCTGAATTTCGTGGGATTTATCTTATATTGATAGAAAGATTCAAGATATTTATAAATCATTCTATATTTATTTGTGTTTTTAATTTTCGTGGGACATTAATTGAAAATAAAAAGGAACAAATTTTAAATAATATTATTGAATAAGATGTGCTATCTGGTTAGGATTCCATGACAAGACCTTTTTTTGCAAAGCTTAATTTGACCAAACGATATAACATTTCTATTATAGTTTTTGGGATTTACGTTTTTTAAATTAATTTTTTAAACTGGAATAATATGTTACTATATTTAAACTGAATTCAGATTAAAATAGATTGAATATGAGTGTTTTAAAATTAAATTAATTTGAATATAACATAAAAAATCGAATTTTCAGTATGTATAATTTTAAAAGAGAATATGTATAATTTTTTATAAATTAGATTTCTAACTTTTCAAGATATATCTTTCATATAATATACTTTTTCGAAATCTAGTCATACAAACAGTTCAAGGAATTTTCTTTCCTCTCATCAATAATTTCAAGAAATTTTTAAAACCTTTTATAGAAATGTCAACTCCATTATAGATAATATCGTATGATAAGTTAGCTGGATTTATGATTTTTAATTTACCCAACTTTACGTACAATTTGGCATGCCTATCGATGTTAATCATTTAATTTAATTTAATCTACACCGCTTTTAATGTATAAAAATTTTAATTCGAATCATTAGAAATGCAATCTGCTCTCATTTGGAAGCTTGTATTACATTTTCTTAACCTATTCCGATTGTCTAGTTATCCTTTGTAGAGAAATTGGGGGTCCAAAATATAATGTACCACTATAGCCCACGTTCATTAAGTATAATGCATCACTTATTCACTTTAAACCTAACTAACTTGCGATAAATTTTCCATTTTCATAACAAAAAGAGAATATCGTAAAAAAAAAATCACGAATTTTTTAAATGTGATAAAATAAATATATGAAATTCTAATTTTGTATAAAAATACACAAGCTTTAAAAATTTTCGTGTAAAACCATAAAAATACTGAACTCAATTTGTTTTTTTTTTGTGTGTGGTTATATGCGCAAAAATTTTAAAGTTTGTGTATTTTTATATGAAAAAATTATATATTTATTTACCAAATTAAAAAAGTTCGTGTTTTTTTACTATACTTCCTACAAAAAATAAGTGTGATTTACGGAATGTTTGATTTGAAAAAAGTATATTAAAAGCTAACTAGGTAAATAAGGATATCATATTAGTCGAACGTTTCCCTTTCGCCGGTAATTATATAAGACATTTATAACGATTAATTTCATCACGTTATAACCAATTCCGAAAATCTATTGAAAAAAACAACAACATTGAAATGCTTACAAGAGAAACTGACTCATTGGTTTTGGTTTTGTTCGTTATTTTTGCCTTCTTGTCGTTGATTTCCCCGAGTAAAAATGCAATCTTAGAAAAAGAAATTGTAAATAAATAAATAAATATTTTTTATATATAATTATGGATTAGAGAGAGAAGGAAATAGCAGAAGAAGGCGTGAAGCATGCCTCTTTTGCATTTGGTATTCCATTAAATATCGAATTCTAAAATGTCACTAAACTGTGTCTGACCCCACGGAGCACACTTGTTACTATATAACATATACGATAATGAACAAATATTCCAAGTGGACTAACATATTCTTCATTTGAAATTTAATTTGATTTCCAATTTTTTTCCAACTATAATATAGATAGAAAAAATGTATGTTGTTTTGCAATTTGACAGACAAAAAGTTTCAGGAAATCCGTTGTTATTTCTTTTTTTTTCTTTGGCACTAACATTATTTGCTGTTTAAAGAAACGTATATATTAATTTGGATTTGGTCTTGAAAATGACATTTTATTATGTTTAATTTAATCCCTTAAATTACTTGATCTGCCTCGAAGTGATGATGGTGATGGTGATGGTGATGATGATGTCGATGGTGATGATGATGGTGATGTGATCATATCACTATTCCTGGTGAGACGGAGCTGTAAGAACAAACGATTATTATCAATCAAAAGGAGAGGCTATTTAAAATATGTAAATAAAATTCATAAAAATGGAAATTATATTATAAACACACACATGTGTAGTGGAACATAAATGGGTGGCTTACACGCAATCTTATACGTATAACACATACGTATACATAATATATATATATATATATGTGTAAAAGTTGTAACCTTTCTAATCCTTAAATCATTGGTCAGACATTCTACCAAGTCACCCGTTTTCTCACTATAAAGAAAACCAACAAGGAAACCCAACATAATAACATCCAAACTGTCTTTTTCTTTTTCTTTCTCCATTTTTTTCCCGACATGGACGCCAAGCTTCTGAGATTGCTGCGCACACGCCAAGCCGAGTCCCGGCGGGGCCAGAAGGAACCGCCGCCGTCCATGGAGGAGGAGAAGAAAGCCACCGCCGTGTACAAGGCGGTGTTTCGGGTGGTGGGGATGACATGCGCCGCGTGCGCTGTCTCCGTCGAGAACGCCGTCCGGAGACTCTCCGGCGTCCGGGAGGCCGCCGTCGACGTTGTCAACAACAGGGCGCAAGTCTTATTCGATCCAACCTCTGTCAATGTAAGCTTAGATTATAAGATCCATTGGAAAAACTTCATAACTAAGAAGAAGCCCAGAGCTAATAATCCGAGGCAATGAGGAATCAAATGCAATATACATAAATATATACATACATGCATACGTACGTAACCACATGCACTGCAGAGAAGAGAGATCACAATCCGAATTATAAGATAAAATTTCTGGAGAAAGTTATTGAGGTTCGAGGATTATAGGTTTAAACCATGTGTGTGAGGAGTTGATTTATTGGTTCAGTCTGGTTTACATCCGGTTATGTAGTTTCGGTTTGGTTATGTTTTTCCATTTGAGCATTGAATCCATTTGACCTTTCTGTTTTGGTTTGTTAGTCTATACTTAAACTCGACCATTGCTCATTTGCAATATATCACACATTTTCTTTTATTTCCCTCTCTTTTCTCGCTTAATTGGATTCAAATCTCAATGGTTTACCCTAAACCGAACTAAACCAAGAAATCAACGGCTAATTTTAATTCAGCTAATACTTCTATGGGTAAGAAATGTAGGTAGAATTTGAGTTTCATCGAGTTAAGATTGTTTTACCGACCGGTTTGATTCAGACGTGTCTTTGGTCCTGGAGTTGGAATAAAGTATGAAGCTGTAAACCGGTTATAAATAGAAACATATATAAATCACCAGAGAACCGATTTGGTTTAAGTACCGTTGGCAAAACAAATATTTAAAATTTCTCTATCCATGTCCACACGTTTCTTTTGGGTAATTAGAGTTTCACCGGCTTCGATATTATATGGTATGATGTGTGATATATTGGATATATATTAGAAATTTTTTTACACTCAAAGAGTATATACTGTATATTATATCTGGCAATATTATATATCGTTCTAAATAAAATAGAGTCGACCAAGATTCTATGGAAAATAATGTTTTTAATAGCGTTTGACTTTTTGAAGAAACCATATGGATTGACCTAAAGTATATAGTTTCTCCGGTCAATCCGGTTAATAGTGTACCGGATTTTGGTTTCAATCGGATGTCTTGGCAAATATATAATTGGTGACAAATTTCATGAATGGAAATAAGTGGTAACAATTTTCTCAAAAGATTCATGTAATTTCAATGCCTTTAATCTTTAATTTTCTCAATCAGCTAACCAAACCGAGCATAACCCCGTACCGGAATAAACCGCAATCATCCGGTTAATCGGAATATTCTCTCCCGGCAATGTCTCTGTTTTCAATCGTTTGGTTTACGAAAAGTTGCTTATTTTCTCAGGCAGAGACCATACGAAATGCGATAGAGGACGCAGGGTTCGGAGCTACATTACTTGACGACGAAGCAACCAACAGATCGCCGCAAATATGCAGAGTACGCATCGCCGGGATGACTTGCACGTCTTGTTCCACCACCATCGAGAAAGCCCTCCGATCAACGGACGGCGTTACAAAGGCTCGAGTCGCGTTAGCAACCGAAGAAGCCGAGATTTTCTACGACCCGAACCTTCTAACCCTCGACGATCTGTTGCTTGCAATGCAAGGCACCGGTTTCGATGCCACGCTCATCAGCACAGGACGAGATACGATGAGCAAGATCTCTCTGAAAGTAGACGGCCTGGAAGAACCTGAGAATCATCTTTTTATTTCGCTTATCAAGAAATCTCTCGAAGAAATTTCCGGAGTAGCGAAGTTGGAAATCATGCCTGAATCAGGAAAAGTGTCTGTATCTTACAAATCCGACATGACTGGTCCGAGAGAGTTCATCAGGGTTATAGAATCTTCCGGAAAACGGCGTTTTAAGGCCACGGTGTTATCAGATGACAGCAGTGGAGGATCATCGCAAGAAGCAGACAGGAGAGAAGAGATTCTGCAGTATTACTTATCGTTTCTATGGAGCTTGTTCTTCACTACACCAGTGTTCTTAACCTCAATGGTGTTCATGTACGTACCGGGAATGAATCAAATACTAGACTTCAAGATCGTGAACATGTTGTCGGTCGGAGAATTGATACGTTGGGTCCTGTCTTCGCCGGTTCAGTTCGTGATCGGTCGGAGATTCTACTCTGGCTCGTACAAGGCCTTGAGGAATGGCTCGGCCAATATGGACGTCCTGATCGCGTTGGGAACGAACGCTGCGTATTTCTACTCTGTCTACTCAGTTCTGAGAGCTGCGAATTCTGCCGATTTCAAAGGGTCGGATTTTTTCGAGACGAGTTCTATGTTGATAACGTTTGTTCTGCTCGGTAAGTACCTGGAAGTTCTGGCGAAAGGCAAAACCCGGGATGCGATCGCAAAGCTCGTGAATCTGACACCAGACACTGCAACTTTGTTGAACGTTGATGGTGAAGGGAATGTTATTGGTGAAGAGGAGATAGATTCAAGATTGGTGCAGAAGAATGATGTGATCAAGGTAATATTATGGATCACAATCTGAAACGAAACGTTATCTTCGAGATTTAACAGTTACCAACTTACCATTCATGGAAAAACAGGTGATTCCGGGATCAAAAGTGGCGGCGGATGGGGAAGTGGTGTGGGGGCAAAGCCATGTGAACGAGAGCATGGTTACTGGAGAGGCGAGGCCAGTGGCTAAGAAACATGGAGACAAGGTGATTGGTGGGACGGTGAATCAGACAGGAGTGTTGCACGTTAAGGTTACAAATGTCGGATCAGACAGCACGTTGGCTCAGATTGTCAAACTCGTTGAGTCTGCTCAAATGGCTAAGGCCCCGGTCCAAAAACTCGCAGATCAGATCTCCAGATTCTTTGTTCCTCTGGTTTGGCAAAAAAAAACACATTTTCTTCTTGATTCGGATCAGGTCATCAATCATATTAATACCCTTTAATTTCAGGTGATTGTTCTGTCGTTTTCGACATGGCTGGCTTGGTTCATAGCCAAGAAACTAGACGCATATCCAGAAGCATGGGTGCCATCTTCGATGAACGGGTTTGAACTGGCGCTTCAGTTCGGGATCTCAGTCATGGTTATTGCCTGTCCCTGCGCGCTGGGCCTAGCCACACCGACTGCAGTTATGGTCGGGACTGGTGTCGGGGCTTCTCAGGGTGTGCTCATCAAAGGCGGTCAAGCCCTCGAAACCACTCACAAGGTTCATAAAATTTATGTTTTTCTTGATGGTTTTAGAACTCAATCAAGATTCTAAAATGCTTGCCGGTTTTTGTAAAGGTTACCTGCATAGTTTTCGACAAAACTGGGACTCTCACGATGGGAAAGCCAGTTGTAGTGAACACGAGGCTTCTGACGGATATAACCATTCAAGAATTCTATGAACTCGTTGCCGCTGCAGAGGTAAAGTTTTCGTACCGAGTTTCTTGTAACCCTAGCCCTTCACCCAAGTAACCTCGCAAGACTCATGAATGTTACGTAGGTGAACAGCGAGCATCCATTGGCCAAGGCAGTCGTGGAGAACGCCAAACAATGCCTTCAAGGCACTGGTCGAGAGAACCCTTCTTGGCCACAAGCTCAGGACTTTGAATCCATCACCGGAAATGGCGTGAAAGCCATCGTCAATGGAAGAGAGATTCTGGTCGGAAACAAGAAGCTTATGTCCGATCACAGTGTCTTGATTCCAGCAGAAGCCGAGGAGTTTCTAACTGAATCCGAAGATAGAGCGCAGACAGGGATACTAGTGTCAGTAGACCGGAGAATCGCCGGAGCTCTTGCCGTTTCCGACCCTTTGAAGCCTGGAGCCCGGGAAGTTGTCTCGATTCTCAAGTCAATGGGAATTCGAAGCATTATCATCACAGGCGACAACTGGGGAATTGCAAATCAGATTGGTAGAGATGCCGGGATTGAGACAGTGATTGCAGAAGCTAAACCCGATGACAAAGCTCAAGCCATAAAGGATTTGCAGGTGAAATACTCTATTACGCTAATCATTATATCTGGACAATCTTTTAACTGTTTTGAAGAGTTGATATATTGATATTTCCACAGGCTAATGGCGACGTCGTTGCAATGGTCGGCGACGGGATCAATGACTCGCCGGCTCTTGCGGCGGCCGATGTCGGAATGGCGATTGGAGCAGGGACTGACATCGCCATCGAAGCCGCCGACGTTGTCCTGATGAGAAGCAGCTTAGAAGATGTGATCACAGCCATTGATTTGTCTAGGAAGACGTTTTCTCGTATTCGTCTGAACTATGTCTGGGCACTTGGGTACAACGTCATCGGTATTCCGATCGCCGGAGGAGTGCTTTTTCCGGCGAACAGATTCCGTTTACCGCCGTGGGTCGCCGGAGCTGCGATGGCGGCTTCTTCGGTGTCGGTTGTGTGTTCTTCCCTGTTGTTGAAGTATTACAAGAGACCCAAGAAGCTAGAGTTACTTGAGATGCAAGGAATCCAGGTTGAATGATAGTCCCCACACCAAAGAAAAAAATGTAGACCAATTTTCAAAACGAGAATTTCATAATTTTTTTAACGTGTAATTCAAATATGCAACTATTTTAAATATATACTAATATTATTTAAATACAAAATTGAAATTGTTTTATGTATTCATAAACCATAATAAAGAATGCAAAAAAAAAAAAAAATCCAAATATTGGATATTTGTATTTGTTTTAAGGGATGGTAGCATAGGCAGACCAATGGTTAAGGTTCATAAATTAACTTATGGCACCGAATTTAGTAGATTTCATTTAAATTTTTGTGTTTATATATGCAGTTGTTATTTTCCCCATTAGTATATATGGTACTTTTTGTGTTGTTTCGGTCAAAAATATTTCTTTTATATTAAATATAAAAGAAAATGTTATATATTAATACACATATGAAAATAAAAAATATATAATAAATAATTAAATATTTGGTATCATCTATAAAAGTCCTCGGGGGGGGGGGGGGG